TTTCCATTTAAACTAAACTAATGACAAGTCAAACAGCATAGTATACTAGGTTGCAAGCTTATAATAATTTTTTGCAGCAAGGAAGGAAGGGAGGAATAGAGCAATACAAGAAATTTTATGAAACTGACTTTTTTTCCCCTCTCCTGTAACCTGCAAAACAAAGTGAGAATGCTACACACCAGAACTTGAACCACACCAAAAGATCACAGGTATACATGGAACTGCAACACCCCCTTCCTTTTTCCTCTGCTGATTTCCTCCTCCTCCTCCTTCACTCTGCCCCAGCTTAAATCCTCTGCAAGCTTCGCATCACAGAGGACGAAATTTGTATCACATCCCACAAGCAAATACAAGTTGACCAGGCACCGAGTGGTGGTATGCAAATCGCATCAAGAGGTACAGGGCGAACGTGAGAGCTGGTGTGCAGCTAACCTCAGGGTGCAAAGCATTGATTTCGGTTAACTGCAAACCTACCTCATCTTGTGACAGCAGGATCTTTCATGTGGAAACCGTGTGTTTTAACTTCTGCACAAATGCCACGCGAGATGAAGATTTGACCGTCTCCCTTCTCTATGGATACCTGAGCACCTCCAGAGTGTGTTCACTGAGTCAATCAAAACATCACTCATGAACTAAGCAGCATTTCTTTGCCCCAACTGACTGTTTTCTAATGAAGCATCTCACCCAAACCCTGGTACTGCTGGGGAGCGCAATGAGAGTATGGAGAGAGGCTGCTGCATCAAACAGGGAGGGCAGGTGCACATCAGGCAGCGAGGAGGCCAGAGAGGAGGCCAGCTGGCTGAGCTGGGAAGAAGTGTTATCAAGGAGGCAAGCAAAAAGCTGGAATGCAGAGACACCAAAGCATTTAGGTTGTTGTCGTGGGTTAGGCTGACCCTCCCACACAGCCGGTCACTCACCCTCCCCCAGCCCCAGGAATGAGGGAGAGAATTAAAGGAGAAACGGGAAACCCGTGGGTTGAGATAAGAACAATTTAATATGGATGATTTAATACACAGTGTAGGTGCTCACCACCCCCTCGTATGCGAAGCCCGTCTCGTCCCGAAGCTGCAATCCCGGACGAACGCGAGGCCCCGAAATAGAGAGGGGCAGAGAGAGAGAGAGAGAGTACTCTGAGAGTGGGAGTACTGGGAGAGAGAGAAAAAAAAGGCAATAGAGCAAAAGCGCAGAAGCGCGAAAGAGCAGAAGTGGCGAAAGAGCCAAAGCGCAAAAGCCCTTCTGTCCGGCTGACCCTCACCTTTATACTGGGCATGACGCTGTGTGATATGGAATACTAATTGGCCAGTTTGGCCCTCAATCTTAAGTTCCACCACAAATCACAAGGGGAATCGTGTCCCCCTTGTACCAGCTATGCTCCCCCCTTATCCCGCCAGCACACTGAAAAGTCCTTGGAGTCTCAAACATCAACTTGCTATCAGCATTCTTCTCAGAGCGAGCCTCTGAGTAAAACCAAAGCACGGAGCTCTTCTAGCTGCTAAAAAGAAGAACTAACTCTGTCCCAGCTAAAACCAGGACAGTTGTGTCAGAGAGTGATGTGGTTCTAAGGAAGAATCCTCATTTCCTTCCCAAGCTCTGGAGGCAACGTGACTCTTCTCATGCTTTCATGCAACTTGGCTCAGGACAGGAGCTGCTAACTCTGGCTGCTGCGAGCACCCAAATTAAATCTTTTGAATATGCCAGTAAAGGCTGCCTATCACCCTTCCATAACATGCTTCTTAAAGAGTCAGTCACTGCAGTACCGTAACCAAGGACTCTTAATTTCTACAAGCATGAAATACTAAAGTCAGCAACATTAGCACCAGGTGTTAAATACCGTTGCCTGGTGGTGCACAGCTAAGACTGAGACATAAATGGTGACTTTATAACTGAAGACTTCAGAAGGAATTGACTAATTCGAATTGAGATGGAACCCATCGTAAAAAAGAATTGACAGTAGCTTAGCATTGTGCATTGCTAGCCCATCCCAGCTGTAACATAAAATTAACTTAAACTTCAGTGAAAAGGCATAAGCAGACGTGCTGTATCTTCCATCCTTGTACCACGTACAAGGACAAGTGGGTGAACTGAGAGCTTAAAGGAGATTATTTCTTGCAATCCCAGTAGCACTGATTAGGTGTTCCTGACCTTTCCTAGCAGGTCCGGTCCTGCTATGACTGCAGGATCAGGGGACTCAGCACAAGATCAAGTATTTCTGCAGTTTCTTAGACAGGTTTTGCAATTTAAGAGCAGATAATTCAGCACAAACTGTGCAAAGCTATGCAGTTTAGAGACAGTTTGAGTATACAAAACTGTAGTTGCCTTAATTGCAGCATCTAATAGTCTAAAAGACCTTGTTTTGGGAAGCTAAACAAACCAAAGATGGAAAGAAGATGCAACTGCACTTCAAAAATGGAACCAGACACGGAGAGAAGGGAGAACTAGCTAAGCTGAAGAACAATACTGGCACAGGAAAGAAAGGTATAAATGAATCGACCATCTGTAAACTTAGGCTGGAAATTAAAGGTTAACCGTGTAACAGGCTTGCTCTCAGTACGCTATTAAATACGCGGCGTTGTGACAACTACTGCTGCCAGGGAGTCAGCTTCCTATCATGAACAGAGCATAAGTGAAAAGGGTATTTCCCCCCAAGCCCTTCTTTTTGTCTTATTTGCGAAGGATTTTCATTTTTTCATGTGGAGACAAAGCCAAACATATCTGAATGTCAGGACCTGCAGGCATAGTTAATAACTATACCATATTTTGAAAAATTACAATTAAAAAATATCCAATTTCTGATTTATATCGCTGCACTGTTTGTGGTAGGCTTTGTTGAAGCAAAGTATTACTTTTCTGGAGTATGATTCACTGGAAATACAAGCAGTGGCATCCAACTGTGAATTTGTTGTGAAATTCATTTCAAGATGAAAAAATTCTGTCTAGAATAGAATTTTTATGCGGCTTTCTCTACGACTGTTCAGCAGCCCACGCAATTACAGTTTTTGGGACACCATGCTGCCAGTCCTATTATACAGCACTGAAAGCTAATGCATCATATAACTGTTGGTTGCAACTAGTAGGCTAATCAAGTGAAACATAACATTCTTAAGTCTAAAATATCTCTTATTTAAGCATACTGAAGCACAAATACAAAGC